TCCAACCTTAATGATTCTATGATTTCTGAAGTAAACCACATTTTGCTCTTGAAAGTATTATACGATTCCATCTATACTCCTATAACCTAATTTATTTTTACTTTGGACTTCCTTTCAGAATTTCAGTACTAGGCATTTTAGAATATACTATGTTCTAATTAATACTTGGCATTTTTCTATATGTTTAGCTGTGTAATATTGTTTAAAGCAATGTTTAAATTGAGTTCAGGGAAAAAAGTAATCCAAGAACACATTTAAAATTAAGTACATTTTCAAGCTACTTTCTAAATTGGGCATAGATCTTTTTCCCTACCAGGTATGTAAGCAAGGAATGGTCTTGTCTGTAGCAGAATTGATGAAGTTCCATTGCGTTGTGATTGGGAGCTGGGTCTGATTAGGAGATCAGTGTGGAGGGAGAATATAACAATTGAGGCTGGGTAGATTAACTGCTCTTTTCTCTGTAGGACATATTTGTATGTGGTACTACATGTGTTGCAGTTTAGCTAGCATTAATATATTAACTGCTCTAAGGTAGCTATTTCACATCCTGCTTTTTTTAAATAGAAGTAGGATGTACTTCCTTTACTGCTGGTTACCCAGAAGGTTTATCTTGTTCTGCAAATAACTGGAATATACGTTGGGTCTGGGATTAAACCAATACCAACATCAAGATTTGGAATTAATGGAAAATGTAACCTAAATACCTTTTTCATAGGGAGGGGTGTCAGTAGGAATAGAACTTAACTGTTTTCATTGCTGACAGTGATAATGATCTCTTTTTTAAATAGCATCCTCGTGGTTAGAGCCACTGAATCACAGCTAGCCTAAGTGCAGAGATGGGTTAAGATATAGAATAACTGAAATGTTATGTAGATCACCTGGATTACCCCGTTCAGTGGAGACAGGTGAACTATTCTGCAATAAGATGCTCTGATCTTCCTAACAAGACTATAGTACTGTCCTAGAAAAGTTTTTTAGGGTGTTTCTAAGTAAAAGAAAAAAGCAAAGTGCGAGGAAACTCTTGAGGAAGCTGCAGTCTTATGAGGCTTTGAAGTAGGCTAAATTCTTGCTCAGAAACCCTCTATGGTTTCTTTTGGATTCTGTTATTAATTTGTTTGTCTTAAGATTCTGTATAGACTTATTTGCATTATTAATCAGATGCTGGGTTTCAGTACACAATCTTAAATCCCTGTCAAAGAGTTGTGCTCTTTGAAAGATTATTTTTCTTAATACGCTTTGCTGTTCCCAGATCAGAAGTGATCTGCTAGCATGATAATGCTCTCACTTGTTCTCTAGCTAATGCTTCTATTAAATATTGTGCACACTGTTGCCTTCAAGTTGATAAAAAAATCTGCCTGTTTTAATCAGGAAAAGAAAGCTAAAATGCAATTTTAAAAGGCTAATAATTTGTAAGCTAGTGTATGGTAGCATGCGTGCTACTCTGCACTAGTGATAAAACCTGAAGAAGCCTACTGCTAACAAAGCCTTAACAGCAGTCATCACAAAGGAGATCTGAAGTACCAAACTGCAAAGCAGTTCCAGACAATTGAATGAGCATAGAGATACTGTGTTCTCCTGTGTTTATAAAATACATTAATAAATAGGTATGTAATTAAGGCTACTATTTTTCCCCTTTAGGTTTTAAAGACCAGATTGGCTGTGGGTAAAACAGGGCAATACTCTGGGATGTTCGACTGTGCTAAGAAGATCTTAAAACGAGAAGGTGTAAAGGCCTTCTACAAAGGCTATGTTCCTAATATTCTGGGTATAATTCCTTATGCTGGCATTGACCTTGCTGTTTATGAGGTGAGTTTAGATCACTGAATGCATGTAGTTTTCATTAGTTAATTTATGAAAAGGTTATTCTTTAGAATACATGTATCATTAGTTTGATTTGTAATTTACTTGTAATTTGTAAGTTGTTTTGTAATATGCTTGTAGTATTACAGATGCCTTCACTAGATAGATAAATAGATAAATGAGAATTTCCACTAACTGTACTAGACTTTAATGTTTTTCCTTGTTTGCCCTTCCTGGAGGAGTGCCTGTGCCGACAGGCCCTTATATGCAACAATACCAAACAAGAAATGTACTTGTAAGGCAGGATTACATGGACCTTGGCAATACAACATGCTTGCATACAACTGTTGGCCTGGAACATACCTGTTCAATGGCAAATATGGGCCTTAAAAACCTGATATGATATTCATATTATGTTACCTATCCTGCATTTATGATACTTAATACCTTTTTTACATTTTCTCTGTTTTATAATTGTGTTATAGTAAGCTGAATTCCTTGTGTGTCTGTGCACATCACCAGAATTCTTTATGGCTGACATATAGTTGTTGTGAGGAGTCGGAAACACCACGCTCTTTCCTTTCAGAAGGAACTGGCACCTCTTATACCCATCAGCAACAATTAAAATGTCTTCTCTACCTTAGATGCTAGGTGTTGCTTCAAAGTATGTTAAGTAACTTGGATGCACAGACTAATTTGTTTTTTCTAGTCTAGACAAATCCTTTTGTGACACTGCAGTAGTAATCAGCAGAATTGCTTGAGCAAAGGTTTTCAAAGGAATATGGAAGTTATTCTCTACAGTTTGCATCCTGGCTTCTGCATGGGATGACGTGCACAACTGCGTGCACTTTTGTTGCACCCTGTGGGTTGCTGAGTTGTGTTCCCTTCATCCTCCCCCCAGAGTATTTACGGGTCTAGAACATGGGTACTGTTACTGCTGCTGGATCTTTTAAGGGTTGCTCTTCTAGGCACTAACTACCGTAGTCTGGTTAATGTCCTTACCCATGTGCTGAGGTGTTTACCTGTGCACTTGAAAAGTAAGCATATAGGACTGGCATAGTGAGACTGGTGCTTTTCAGGACAGAGCCCGTAAGATTTGTTACGAATAAAGATGTGTTTGTTTACTTGAATGCAGATCTCTTGTCTTACTATTTAATTTTATATCTTGGCAGCTTTTAAAGAGTACATGGCTAGAACACTATGCATCAAGCTCTGCTAACCCAGGTGTTTTTGTATTGTTGGGATGTGGTACTGTTTCCAGCACATGTGGGCAGTTAGCCAGTTACCCTCTTGCTCTTATCAGAACACGCATGCAGGCTCAAGGTAAGTCCTGTTGTACTGAAAACGTTCCTGTGTGGGCACATCAAAATTGTATCATTGTGGATAGCTGTAGCAAAGACATGGGAATAAAAAAAAAACCACAACTTGGGAAGCCAAGGACTTATCTGGAAAATTCTCTGTAATGTTGGCCCGTTCTCCCTATTACCCCCAACATTGTTCTTCCTCATAGTAGATTCAAATGTAACATTCAGACACTAGTGTTCTGTGTGCTCCAAGAGCCATGTTCCATACAAGACTACCAAGCGTGGAGCTCCTGTCATAGTCTGGGAGCACTTTTCTAAAATGTAGAATGTTTCCTAATTTTTAGAGGTAAAATGAAAAGTAATTGCATCATTCTGTGAAGGAAGACAGCATTTTTTGCTCTGGAGGCCATTTCATAAAGAGTTTTAGAGCTGAGATTTTTGCTTGATAGGTTTGTGCACAGACTTAAAGATAGGAGCCTAGATTTCCAAAGAATGTAGATGGTTAATGCTCTTCAATGGGATTTAGACACATGGATATCTTTCAGTGTCTGGGATTAAAGGGATCTCCTCTCTGTGAGGACTCAAGTTTTAATCAATGAACCTAGAGGTGATAGTAGGCTCACCACCCAGGTGTTGAATACTTGCTTAAGAATTTTAATATTACAGAAACTGTTGTATAACACATTCTCTTTTTGTTCTAGCCTCAGTGGAAGGAGCTCCACAGCTAAACATGGTTGCTCTCTTTCGAAGAATTATTGCTACTGAGGGAATCCGAGGACTTTATAGGGGCATAGCCCCTAATTTTATGAAGGTGCTTCCAGCTGTCAGCATCAGCTATGTTGTATATGAAAAAATGAAGCAGAATTTGGGAATAGCATGAAATGAAGGAAAAAGTGGAGATGCTTCTAATGCTATTGGAAACACCAGAACAAAAATGATTTCTCAAGTAATCTGCTCTAACAATTAGAGACAGATCTTTGTGGAGAGATGCTGCAACTTCTCCTTTGGCCCTCAAGTCGGAAGAAACTTTCTTAAATTCTAGTTCACCGTTTCTAAACAGATACTTATATTGCACTTTAAAATGTCACTGAGTTAAAAAAAAATCAAGAAACTATCTTTAAATCAACAGTATGTTTATATCTTCAGGAAATCATGCATATTTTACTCATTGGCTTTTTTTTTCTATTTGTCTTCTCTGAATGTGTATTTGGCTTGGATCAAACCAAAGGTAGGAGAAGTTTATACTGCCTTGATACTTAATATATGAAAGTGACTTTTTGTTTTGTCACGCTGCCTATAGTCAAGCAATTCACAGGCAACTTTTTGCACGCCTAGAAGTAAGCACTTACTATTGTTGTTTTTAAAGGCTTAATGTTAAGTTCATAAAAAATCAGATCTTAGATACAGACCAGGATGGAGTAACACATTAAAATGTAGCCCATCACCTTCATCTTCAGGCTAACATTTTTTTTTAGTTATTTAAAGAATAAGAGCCTGAGAAACTGCTGTTCCATGGTATCAGAATACCTCAAATGCTATTTTTGTAATACAGTCAGTGATCTTCATAACTTGCTTCACGGGACCTGTTTTTCATTGCACTTGTAAATGGTAGCACCGTTAAGTTTGGGTTACAGCTGCACGTTGTATATATCATAATATACAGGAATGGAAAAAGCTTGGTTACTAGGTCCATTCTGTACAAGTGCAAGTTACTGTTTAAAACCGGGGTGGAGGATCCAGTATTAAGCTGATAGTGACTGTAATACAGCCAATAGTGGAGCTCATCATAGCTGCCTTGGGGAGACAACTGCTTTTCATGGTGGACTCCTCATGCTTTCCCTTACTCAGAGGGCTACAGAGGATTGCATTATTATGTAAAGGTTTTACAGGTTTGTCGTGTGAGATAAATCCTCTTTC